AAGGGCCCCTTTGGCAGTAGGAAACACATAGACTATTATGGAGATTGATTTTGGAATTTAGATGCACTGTTATTAATTGTGGTTAGCCGTACATGTTCATATCCTTGAAGATGTATCATGGGGGGGTTGCAACCTAGAAGACACAAATTTAACTAACAAGTTATAAGTACATGAGCTCAGCATCTTATTACTAAGCCCACAGAACTCCCTAAACTCCCAGGTTAGGCCCTTTAACTTCCATCATTCCCACGGGGTGACGTCAAGGCCACGCCCCGGGGGCGTGGAGTCAGCGTCCAACCCGGAAGCGGAATCCCACCATTCGCTCTGATTGGTCCGTCGCTCCCTACCTCGCGGCTGTGGGTGTTGTCGTCTCCCGTCTCCCTTATGAGAGCCGTCGATGGAAGCGATGGGCGAGTGCGGAAAGGCGTCTGTGGAGTGACTGAGGGGCGAACAGGGCTCGAGCGTGCAGAGGCTCCGGGAGCGACGCGCGGCGCCGGGACCCTTCGCAGTTGGGCCGCGGTGAGCGCAGACCAAGGGGCCCCAGGTTGGAAACACGTCCTCCGGCCATCGCCACCCGATCGCTTTCCCGCGGGGTCCCGAGGACCCGGCTTGTGCTCCCTACGCCGGCACCCCCAGCCCAGCGCCCTCCCGGGCCTGATCTGCGATGATTCAGGAGTCACGGTCTTCGTTGCTGCAACCTCAGGATGTTGAAAACCGAGTGGAGACGCTTATGGTACACGGCGGGGAAGGGAGGCAGAGGTGCGGGGAGGTCCTGAGCTGCAGGGGTGCGGGGGGCAGAGGTGTGGGGAGGCAGGGACTCGGGGAGGCACGGGTGCGGGGCGGCAGGGGTGCGGGGGCGCACAGGTGCGGGAACGCTCGGGGGCGGACACTTGGGGATGTTGCCAGCTGTCTGCGACCCTCGGGGAACCTCGATCGCCTGAGGTTGAGATAAGGGAGGGGGAGTGGAGTTTGATCAAGGATTAGGAGATTAATAGGGCAGAGCTGAAGCTCGCCCCCCCCCCCCCCGCCCCAGGACTGGCAGGTCTCAGTCCCGCTCCCACACTGGGTGCCGAGATGCCAGGCCTGGGGGGACTGTCCAGGCAGCATGCCCGCTGATAACGTGCGATCTGAAACGAGATGCGCGCACAACGGGCCTGCCTCCCTGGTGGCCACCCGCCTGGGCAGTGTTTGGACCATCTCGGGTTTCGAGCCACCGGAGCCGTTGATTTCCGAGCGGAATAACCGGGGACCAACGTGCGCCCCTGGGGGGATGGCGTAGTGTCCGGGTCCCTTCCTCCGGGCAGGCTCCAGAAGGTGTGCGGAGAGGGGCCCCGGTCCACCCTTGCTGGAGGCGGGGCTGGGCTGGCTCCTCCTGGAGGAGGGAGTCCCAAGGATGGTTCCTTGTGGGGGTTGTGGGTCCCCAGGCGTCTGCCCCTCTCACTGGTAAATAAACGTTTGGAGATGGCCAGTGCACTGCAGCGTCTGCAGATTAGGTGGGTGGGTGTTTTAGGTTTTTTTTTTTAATATGCAACTTTTTAAAAAATTTCTTTATTTCAATGAAAATTTACAGACTTTGGATTTCCATTCATTCATTGTTGCACTTTTCTCCCCTCCCAACCCTCCCTTCTAGTACACTACCCTCTTGGAAAAGTAAAAGAAAAATTACTTCATTGTTTTGCACATGCCTCAGGTTGTCTTCATTTCCTTTTATTAGGTTTAGTGAGATAAAAAGAATGACACACCTTTCACTGGAATTCTGCAACTGTGTTATCAGACCCTAACTAGCTTCTTTTGTGGCTCCTACTTGATAACCATCATTTACTTGTATTTTGGGAGGACATAGTTCCATCCATGACAACATCTTGAGTAGAGGTCTGGTGGCCTGGGAGTCAAGTATTTGACTGCTCACTAAAACGTGGAAGTTCACATCCACATCTGCTCCAGCAAAGAAAGATATGGCTGGCTGCTTGCTTGAAATGTGTTTATAGCCTGGATGCCAGAGAGGGTCATTGGGTAACTATGTTGTTGTACTGTCCAATTGGAACCCACCCATAGCTGACCTTCCAGCAGGTTTTCAGAGGCAGGTAATCCCATGGGAGGGGACTGCCCATCTTTCTCCCGTGAGTTAACTGTGAGTCAGAACCAACTGAACAGTACACATTTGGGTTTTGATCGCTTTCTCTTGAATAACTGTGAGATTGTTTTGAAATGACAAGTTCAGCATCTGCCATTTACAGTGTCTTAAGATCTTTGACAATGAGAAATGTAGTTTCTCTTTGTAGTGATTCCATTAGCAATTATATCATAATCTTTTTGGGGTATTCACACAGTGGTGTTTGTTTAGTAATCTTCCCCAGTGCACTGTGAAAAATTGCAGAGTTAAGGAAGAGATGGGCTCTGTGCATAAGGTGTTTATTCAGCACATATTTATTGAGCTATTAATATGTCTAAAGGCTGTACAGTAAAAATAAAGATGTAAAGAAACTAGCTTTTGCAGTGAGGGCTGGAGGAAACAACAGTCTTTTAAGACAAATATCCGGTTCGAATCCACCAGATGCTCTGCCGGGAAAAGGAGGGACAGTCTCCTCCTGTACCAGTCAGATCTGATTTGATGATACACACACACACACACACACAAAGACAAATATCCTAAAATACCCTTAGGCATGTACAGGGCAGGTAGGAGGTGTGAGAGATTCACCTGTCCAGGGGTGGGATGTGTGGGAACCAACAAGATGGGAGGGCCTCTGAGCTTTGTCCTGTGGGGCTGTGCTCACGGAAGACCCCTGTGCAAGTGTCTGGCAGATGAAAAGATTCATAGTTCCGTCATGTACACACACTGTGCATTGATAGGCTCTGTGGTCAGTGGTTCTGGATCACACACTCGGTGTGTGTGTAGCCTCTCCTGCCGTAGACCCTCACTCCTGAGGGGCCTGGGTGGTAAGCAAGGTACAGGTATATGGAAGCACTGAGGAGGAGCCCTAGAGCGGGGGCACCCGTCCTTGGAGAGGGACATCATGCTTGGGAGGGTGGAGGGACGGCGCAGGAGAGGAAGACCCTCTATGAGGTGGATTGATTCAGTGACTGGGATAATCGGGATGGGAGTGTCAGAGACAGTGCGATTGGCACAGGACAGAGCAGAGTTTAGGGCTGTTGTACATAGGGTCGCTATGAGTCGCAAGCGACTCGGTGGCACATAACAACAACAAAAGGAAAGAGGGTGCAGCCGGGTAGGTGAGGGGCACCTCAGTACCATGGAGAGAATGACCAAGTGAGGCCTATATCCCCACACTGGGAGGCTCTTCAATATGAGGAAGGCTGAGACACAGAATCGCCAAGGGACACTGGGCAGACGCTGTAGGAAACAGGGATTTTCCTCCATAGCCAACTGAGGAAAGCTTTCCCCTGGCGTGAGTACCCTGAATTTGGACTCCAAGCCTCCTAAGCTGTAAAGGAAGCAGTTTTTGTTTGTTAAAGCCATCCCCTTGTGGCATCTGCTAGGCCGCACTGGATAACCAAGACAGAACATCAGGGCGTGTTAGTGGAGGGCAGGCTGTGAGAGACTGAGGGTCCAACCAGGGTGAGTGAAGTGTCTCCCAGATTTCCAGATTGGATGCCTGGAGCAGCCCAGTTTGAATAGAGGTTGTTGATAATTGTGTGTGCCATCAAGTCGGAACTTACTCATGGCTGACCCTCCAGCAGGTTTTCAGAGGCAGTTTGTCCACACGAGATTGTCAGTCCTTCTCCTGAGGTGCAGCTGATGGATTTGAACTGCCTGCCTTTGATATTGTAGCACTGCTTCTGATCCCTAGGCCACCAGAGCTCCCCATGAATTGAGGTAGAGGCAGGTAAATTTATGGAGAATTTCTGGTTGTGTTTACATTTTGTGTAAATTGTGGTTGAAATGTCTGGGGGCCAGTTTCCAGAGCCTGAGGAAGTGTAGGAATAGAAGAGATAAGATTAGGTGAGAGGGCAGGGCTGGGCTGGCTGGGTGAAGAGATAAGAAGCACTGATGGGCAGGCCCAGGGAAGGAGACTCAAAGGACTGTCAGAAAAGAGGAGGTGACTGTGGTGTCTCAGGACCAGGACAGGAGAGGTATTTCCCATGAACCTGAGAGGCCAAGAAGGACAGCAGAGGATTCTGGGAGTTGGCAGGACTGTGGGAGCAGGCCAAGGTGGCTGGAGTTGAGAAGGCTGGACAGTAACTTGAGGTGGCCCGAGAGAGGGAGCTGAGATGGTGTGGAGTCCAAGCTGGAAAGTCTGGAGACCTTGAGACATGGCCTCAGGCAGGGAAGATGCCAGTGGAAGGGACAGACCACCTGTGCAGGTGAGAGGGGCTCCTGGATGCCGCAGAGCTGAAGGGAGAGCTGGTGGGAATGCTGATTGGCAAAGCGCAGAGGAAGAAAAGTTTTAAAAGAAGGCTCCTCACATAGACTGTTGAAATCTGCATTTTGTTTGACCTGATGTCTCATCACTTGGCCACCTTTTAATACTTTAGAAGCTGAAAGTGGTTATAAGTTCCAGGGTTTAATTATCTGAACTTACTTGGTCCGTCCTCCAGAAGTCTGTGAAGTTAAGTCTTGTTAGACCTTGACTTTTTAGTTTGGAATGACATCTGTGATTCATATTTTTTGTGTGTGTGTGTGTGAGTGAGAGAGAGAGAGAGAGAGAGAGAGAGAGAGAGAGAGAGAGAGAGACGAGATAAGAGGACCTGGTGTCTGGAGGGCAGGTCCAGGGAAGGAGACTCAAAAGACTGCTAGAAAAGAGAGGAGACGGGGAGTGTCCCAGAAACCAGGACAGGAGAAGGGACCAGGCTGTTTCAGATGGACCTGGGTTGGTAGTTACATCTATAAGAGTCTGGTACCTACTTGACTGGAATTTTTAGACAACATATGCCTTCTGTTTTTTGTTTTTTTTTTAACATATGCCTTCTGTTAAAAAAGGAGATACTCAGTTCGAATCCACCAGATGCTCTGCTGGGGAAGGAGGGACAATTTCCTCCTGTACCAGTCAGATCTGATTTGACGGTACACTCACACAAAAATAATTTAAAAAAAAAAAGAGATACTCAGTGCAACAATGAATGAATGAGAACCCAAAATCTCTGTAAATGTTCATTAAAATTAATAAAATTTAACAATAATTTAAAAAAAAAGGAGATACTTTCTTTCTTTGAATGAGGGCGAGAGAAGCCCTTTTTGTTAGAACTTGGCCACAGTCTCTTGTAACAGATTTTTGTTTCCTGTTGGACTTTAAATTTTTCACAACCATCACGTTCAATTGCGTCTGTGACGTTCAGGAAATCGCCAGATACTTTTAACAGAGGGCACATAAAGAGGTGTGTGGCCAGTGGCACAAGGCACGGAAGGAAACAGTCGTGCTCTTTTTAGTGGAAGCAAAATGATCGATATTAATAAAGCAGTTGTTGCTGTGTCCGACTCAGTGCAGCTCCGTGTGTGTTCAGCTAGAACTCCGCCTCACAGAGTTTCCAGGGCTGGTTTTTCCACAAATAAGTCGCCAGGCCTTTCTTCTGCGGTGCCTCTGAAACCTCTTACGTTTCACTTAGCAGCCAGGCACATTATAACCATTTGTTGACACCACCCAAGGCCCAAAGACTAATGGAAGGTTTCTCCTGAGGGATCTTGCGGTGTGTGAGGTCCTCAGTGAACCTCGAGCAGCATGCATTTCTGGCTGCACTTTTCCCGTCTCTGACCGTCGGGAAGCGCCAGGATCATGGGCCATGATGTGGAGGGAGGGTGAGGGACACTGAGCAGGCTGCTGACCTGTGTCCATGACCTTGCAGTTACACCCGGCCATCAAGGCTTTCTTGTGCGGCTCCATCAGCGGGACCTGCTCCACCCTCCTCTTCCAGCCCCTGGATCTTGTTAAAACGCGCCTCCAGACGCTACAGCCTTCGGCCCAAGGGTAGGTACCAAAGCCTCGGATTCCACTGTGGGCCCGATTCAAAAATTCTCCCACGTGGAGGCCTCTCAGTCTTAAGGGAACTCGTAATCTGTGGGATGCATAGGCCAAAGCCCACTTTGGGGGGTCATTTTTACATTCCCATATCCATGAATGTTTTTATATGTGACATTTCCTGTTTGGTAAACGGGGGTCCTTTCCTGAGCAGCTTCTGAGAGCTGTCTTGGTATTTACCCCCTGCTGCCGGAATTCCTTGTGTAATGCCCTGCATACGTGCCCAGGCTGCCAGGAGTAGTGGGTGTGGTCTATAAATACAGTTCAGGATGGAGAGTCTGATTCCTGCCCCATACCAGGCCCAGCACTGTGGGAAGTGGACAAAATGTGTTTCAAATAAGAGCTTATCTCTGTTTGCTCCTGGCATCACTGGACGGATGGGCATGTATGGTGAATTCTGCATACCACAGGAATGCTGTCACCCCAGATTGTAGAGATCCTCAAGTGATCTAGAGAATGCAGGCACACTGGGGTCTGTTACAAAGCTGTCTTTGCATGCAGTCATTCTTTTCAATGAATAAGCTAAGTGGATTTTTTTTCCTTTGTCTTTTTCTCTGACTCCCATTTGTCGTTTTCAGATCCAGCCGTGTGGGGATGTTCACTGTACTCTTCAGGGTGGTTCGCACAGAGAGTCTTCTGGGCCTTTGGAAAGGGATGTCTCCTGTAAGCCGCCTTTTGGGTCTGGGTCCCCTTCCACCTGTCCTGATAAGCAGCCATTTGTCACCCGCCTCACCAGCTCTTTAAGGACTCGTGTGGGTAGAAGTGGTAGGAGGATCTGTATGGTTTTAATGCACATCTCTTACACTGTCCCTTTGAGGTCTGGGGAAATAGGAATCTGTATAGGTTTGGTCTGATTTGTTAGAGAACAACCTGACATCTCCAGAGCAGTTCTTAGCCTGCCTGACGCCATCACTTAAGCCACTGCCTCCTGATCTCTGCTTCGCAGGAACTCACTTGGGTGAAGGTGCCAGGGAATTAAGCCCACCCCTCCCTCTTAAACCCACTGCTATGGTCAAGTCCAACTCATAAGGATCCTGCCGCACACAGTCGAATTGGCCCAGGAGGATCCTAGGGCTCTAATCTTCCAGAAGCCGACAGCTACCTCTTCCTCCCACGGGGTGGCTACGGGGCTCCCCCTGCCACTCCTTTTAGTGATCGCTTTGAACTTCTAATGTTTGAAATCTTACTTCCTGCCCCTTTCAGGGCCCCTAGGGGATGCAAACAGTTGACAGTCAGCTACTAAACTAATGGTGGGCATCTTGAACCCATCCTGCATCCCTTCAGAAGCAAGGCCTGGCTGTGCCTCTGGAAGGTTTACAGGCAAGAAAACCCCGTGGAATCGTTTTACTCTGTGGGGTCTCCAGGGGTTGGAAGGAACTTGGTAGCAGTGGGTTTGGGGATTGTTTCCCTCGGGGGCCTGTGTTCCACGCCGCCCCCAGCAGTGGCTGCTGTGATGCGTACCCCCCCCCCCAATCTGTACTTCTTTCCATCCCCTAAAGAACCTGCTCAGTCATCCTGGGGCCCTCTTTGTGGGAAGCGCAGCAGACAGTCCCTCACGGCTCTCGCTTTTGCTCTTTCCTTCGCAGTCCATTGTGAGATGTGTCCCTGGAGTTGGGATCTACTTTGGCACACTCTACTCCCTGAAGCAGTACTTCCTGCGCGGTCACCCCCCAAGCGCCCTGGAGTCAGTCATGCTGGGGGTGGGCTCACGCTCCGTGGCGGGGGTCTGTATGTTGCCCATCACTGTGATCAAGACACGCTATGAGGTGAGCTTGACCTCCGTAGGGGTGCCGGGTACCTCAGCAGAGGCACTGGGCCCTCGGCTGAAATGGGGTCTGTTGACCACTGATGGTGGCTCCTTAGTACCTAACCTAGTGGCCAGTGACATTGGAGATCACTTTGGTGTGGTATGGCCGAATCCCGGTAGTGCCACCTAACCGGAAGTCCGCTTGGGCCATTGCGCAACCGCAGTGCCAGTCACTGGTCCTGTGTCCCCTTTACAGAGTGGGAAGTTTGGCTATGAGAGCATCACCTCGGCCCTGAAGAGCATCTACCGCCACGAGGGCCGCCGTGGACTCTTCAGTGGCCTCACCGCGACTCTGCTTCGGGATGCCCCCTTTTCTGGAATCTACCTCATGTTTTACAACCAGACCAAAAACATAGTGCGCCAAGGTACGGCTCAGGGAAGCTGTGGGGGGCGGTCTAGGCGTCCAGCCTCTGGGATCTGAGAATGTCTGTCGTCCTTCACTGCTGTAGATCTTCCCTGAGTCCTGGGACCTGAGCTCTGGCGGGGTGGTGTCAGGCCCTGGACATAGGGCTTGCTGCACAGATGTGGACGTGGCTTTGGCCCCAAGGAATGTAAAGCTGTTAGGCCAGTAGTGAGGTAGAAGATTGAATGGTTATCTATCTAGTGCTGCTATAACAAATGTATCCACAAGAGGGGTGGTTTAACAGAAATTAATTTTCTTACCGTTCAGGATGCTAGAAGTGTAAATATAGGGCGCCAGCTCTAGGGGAAGGCCTCCTCTCTCACTCTGTCAGTTGTCAAGTCCTTTTCTATGTGAGCTTCTATCATCCTGGCCAGGAGAGGCCTGTGTATGTTGTCTTCCTCAGTAGCAAGGAGCTTTCTCAGGCAGGAGCCTGTGTCCAAAAACGCCAGGCAGTTCTTTCTTGATGGGAAGTACCCTTTCTGCTTGTTTTCCTCTTTTTTTATCTGGTAACCTAGCATCATCAGTGTGGATGGTGAAGAGATTGAGAGAGTTAACAGTTTTAGTTTACTTGGTTCCACAGTCAACATCTTGGTGCCTGCAGCCAGGAAATCTGGAATTGAATTGCATTGGGAAAGTCAGCTGTGAGGGACCTCTCAAGAGTACTGAAGGGCAATGACATCAGGCTGGAGACTAAGGTGCACCTGCTCCAGGTTATAGTCTTTGCAATTACGTGCTATGCATCAGAGAGTTGGACAGTGAATAGGGATGATAGAAAGAGAATTGATGCCTTTGAGCTGTGGTGCTGGAGAAGAGTGTTGGAATATACCATGGACTGCTAGGAGAGCAAACAGGTTTGTCCTGGAGAGGGTGAAGCCAAAGTGCTCCTTGTTCAAGGATTCTGAAGCTTCGTCTGACATACTTTGGGCATGTTGCAAGGAGGGACTGGTCCTTGGAGAGGGACATCATGTTTGGCAGAGTGGAGGGACGGCGCAGGAGAGGAAGATGAGATGGCTCGATTGTGTGAGTGGAGTAGTGGGAATGAGTGCGTTTGAGACGGCAAGGTGGGCACAGAATAGAATGACATTTGGGGCTCTTGTACATAGGGTCGCTATGAGTCGCAAGCGACTTGATGGCACATAACAACAACAACCACAACCACAACGTACTGGGTAGGAAGTTTCACTGCAAACCCAAAGGCAGGCAGTTCAAATCCACCAGCTGCTCCTTGGGAGAAAGATGAGCAGTCTCCTCTCCTGTGATTTACAGCTGCTGAATATTTGCTGGAGGATCAACTGAGCTGGTTCCTAGTAGAATGCATTGAGAGAGAGAGAGAGAGAGAGAGAGAGAGATTGATTGATTATTACTGTAGAGGAGAACTCCCTTTACGTGGGATTAGGGATCTGATGAGATTAAGGAGAGATGTGTTCTCCCTTAATGCTTTTTAACTATTTGGTTTACCAGATCAAGGGAGATCGTTACATAGGCCCCTCATAACATCACATATGTGTATTGTGTGTGGGTCTGTGTTTAAAAGATACCAAAAAACCCTCTCAAAAAAAAAAAAAAAGATACCAAAAAACCCACACCAAAACCAAACTGATGGGGGGAGGAGGAAAAATCAGAAGAATTAAAAAATCTGGGACCATGGAATTGGGTGAACTGGGCATCTGGCTGGTGCTCCTGTCACTGCTGTGGGGGGAGAGGACAAGATGCCCGGCCTGGGACAGTGTGTCCGCCAGTCCAGCAGAAGGTGAGACTGAAGGTGCCCAGTCAGGTCAGAGATCTGCTCATCCAGGACGTGACCGAGGCCCCAGGATGTGAGCCGGGCCTCTTCCAGTCTTCAGGGTTCTGAAAGGTCGAGCACCCAGCCTGTGACTTCCTTCACAGTGTCTGCTGGCCTCAGAGGAGCATTGGGAAGTCTGGTCGGCTAGGATTGGCTGGGATTGTGCCGATGACAGTCTAGGGGCAGGGGCAGGTGCAGGTGGGTACCCAGTCAGAGATGGATGGTGTGAGGAAAGTCACTGCCGACCCAGATCTCCAAGAATGATGCTCTCTGGGAAGGATGCTCTGCTCCCGGGCTGACCTCTCCGAGGAGCAGCCCCTCCTAACATGCTCAAAGTCTGTGAGTCAAAGAGGCGAGCCTTGCCTCTAAGGAGCGCTGTGTCACTGCACTTTCTCCAAGACATACCTGTTTGTTCTTTTTAAGGCTGTTGTTGTTGGGTTGGAAACCACCCATTCCTGACCGTCCAGTGGATTTTCAGAGGTGGTGAATTAAGGACAGGTCCTTGGACAGGGACATCATACTTGGGAGGGTGGAGGGCAGGCACAGGAGGGGAAAGCCCTCTATGAGGTGGATTGATTCAGTGACTGGGGTAATCGGGTTGGGTGTATCAGAGACAGTGCGATTGGCACAGGACAGAGCAGAGTTTAGGGCTGTTGTACACAGGGTCGCTATGAGTCGCAGGCGACTCGACGGCACACAACAACAACAACATCCTTCTCCCGTGGAGCAGCTGGTGAATTCGAACTGCATGCTTTGGATTGCAGCCCAGCTTCTTACCACGAGACCCCCAGAACTCTCATGTCGCTACTGAAAACATACCTATTTTCCTTTTGAAATGTGTGCCTTTGTAGGGAGAGATAACACCAAATCTATGTAAATGTCCTCCGTGAGGAATCCCACTGAGGGTGGCACATAGGGTTAAGCAGTGGACTAACCAAAAGTTTGGTGCCATGGAAGGCGGGCGAGCTGTCAGCTTCTAGCACCCTTGAAAACCCAGTAGGGCAGGTGCCCCGCTGCATCCACCGGGTCACCATGATTCAGAACCAACAATAACATTTCTTTTACCACATGCCTTAGCATCAGTTACTCATTCTTGGCTGAATCACTTGTGCTGACAATGATAGGAAAAAGGTGACTTTGTAACTCCATCCTTATATCTATCTACACTTACTAGTTACATTTTAAGTTAGACCTGGCGAGCTCTCGGGGCCTAGTGGCAAGAAGCTGCACTGCAATCCCAGAGCTACACTGTTCGAATGCACCAAATGCTCTGCTGAGAAGGAGGGACAATCTCCTCTTGTACCAGTCAGATCGAGATTGATGGTACACACACAAAATATAATAAAAATTAAAAGAAAATAAAATAAGTTAGACCTTTGTCGGAATCTAGACCTTTCTGGCTTTGGGGAATAATGTGGGTCAGCTCGCACTGATGCTTATCTGATGAATGAGGTCTCTAACTGAACGTTACCTTTGTCCCCTTTCAGACCAGCTGGATGCGGTCCACATCCCCTTTGTGAATTTCAGCTGTGGAGTATTTGCTGGTATCCTGGCCTCGCTGGTCACTCAGCCTGCGGATGTTATCAAGACTCATATGCAGATTGCCCCGGCGAAGTTCCGGTGGTTTGGCCAAGCGGTGACACTGATTTTCAAAGTAAGATTGTAGAACGATAGCTTGCGTTGGTGCTTACTGTGGTGAAGGATCGCTTTCTTTTCACTCCCATTAGAATCAGTGGGAAGCTGTTAAAAACATCCGTGTGCCCAGACCACAGCCCGAGCTGATTATAGCAGAATCCCTTGGGGAGCAGGGAGAGGGCAACATCAGTAGATGTTAAGGTCCCTGAGTGATTCTGTTGTGTCACCGTGGTGCAGAACCACTTTAAAAGATCTACACTTTGGTTGAGGGTGATGGCTGGAGTGGACGGACTTGCCTAAGGATCACTGGCAGTATTTACTGAGCGTATTGATTGCCAGGCTCCGTGTCAGCCTGTTGAATCTGGCAGAGACCTCAGGATCTAACTGAGGAGGAAATACGCATTGCATTGCTTGTAGGCGTTTGCTTTAATACAAATGGACACTATTATATCAGTGAAGATAAAGACAACAGTAGAGTAATGTACATTAAAGTATAATTTGAAAGCTCTTTGGTTAGCTCTTTTGAAACCTAGACTGTTTGCAAACTAGATACACAAGATCAAGATAAACAAGGTCAAGATTAGATACGTACATCTTTAGATTTCATACTTTTTCTATGTAGTAGACGAGACATACACATTGATCACCTCTAGAGAGAAGCAAAATATTTGTGGATTTGATAAACACAGTTTAGGTTGCCTGCTTTCTCTCTTGGTGTTTGTTCCTTAAACCATCAAATATAAAAATTACACATTCTTTTACTGTCTGTATGAACGTTCCGGGCACGGTAAAATCAAACCAGGCCCACTGCGGTAATGTCGATTCTGACTCCTAGTTACCAGACAGGTCAGGGGAAAACTGGCTTGGAGACTTGAGTTGAGATCTTTATGAAAGGAGACTGCCACATTGCTCTCTTTAAACTACCAGCTTTCCAGTTCCTTATGGTACCAATGTTGTTGTTAGGTACCTTGGGGTCAAGTGTATCTCACAGTGACCCTCTGCACAGCAGATCTGAACCCTGTTCCTATCCCGTTCCATCCTTGTTATCTGTGCCACACAAGACAGACAGAGAGCATACAGTGAATTACAAAAGGGTGCTCCCCCCAGACAAGTGGCAAAGCGTCTTTCCTTCCTCCTGCAGCCAGAGTCCACGCCTTAGCAAATGGACTTGTGCTTGGATTTCAGCCTCCTCTATGCAGTGTACAAGTTACATAGCTGTCCATGGTCATCGGTGTAAAGATTGTCAGTTGAGAAACAGACTCCCCTGGGTAGAGCAAGCCTATAAAGAGAAATAATAGCAACTAGGCAGACTAGCAAGTTATGGCATTATGTAAAATGATGCAGTGACAGACACTTGCTGGTAAACCCTGTGGACAGTTAACTGTGCTGCTGCTTTACTTCTGAAACTTTGATGCTCATTTTCATTGTAGGACTACGGGCTGCGAGGCTTCTTTAAAGGTGGGGTGCCCCGGGCCCTCCGCAGGACTCTGATGGCCGCGATGATCTGGACAGTCTATGAAGAGATGATGGCTAAGATGGGGCTCAAGTCCTGACCACGCGAGGCCAGAGGAGGGCGCGACCTCCTCCCGCCTTGGCTTCCGCCTGGGGCTGCTTTACCTCCCTCTCCTGGAGCAAGACCGTGTCCTCTGGGGGCCAAGCAGAAAACACTGCCTTAGTGACTCTACTGACCTAGAGACTCTGTGGACCCGCCTGGAGGCGCCAGAAACCTCCTGAGAGGCCATCGATATAGACACTACACTGGGGAGTGAGGAGAAAGGTCTGTGCACGTCACAGGCCCACCCAAGAAGGCGTTGTTGGGAAAGCAAGCATCCATCAGGTGGTCCGCGTGAACCCCCCAGTGTCTCTTCGGTCCCCACTGGGACAAGCAGTTATGAAGCTGAAAGGCCACCTGCTGTGCCTGAGGCGCTCTGGCTCGGGACTCGGGATCTGAGCACAGGAGCTACTGTCAACCACGTGTTAAGACTGTGTTGAAGGAAGAATGTTAAGATGAGGAAAGAAAGACTTATTTCCTTATCAACAGCCCAAAGGCTCTGGGGAATGGGGATGTGGCTTCCTAGCCTATGAATGCTATCCAAATAAATGTTGTCTTCTCCCCTGAACTCTTTCAGCTCCTGAGTTGTTCTGAAATATTTTGGAATTCATGTTCAGATTGAAAAATTCTACCTTTTACCAGCTTTAAGAAGCTGTGTCTATGCTCCTGGGTAGAGGATGATTGAAAAATTAGGCATTTTAACACTGGAAGCTGTTTAGAAAACCTAGATTATGTTGCCACTCTCTTTTAAACTAATAGTTCCAGGGTGTCTGAGAGACTTGGTGGCACTGCGGGGTAGGCATTGGGCAGCTAACTGAACGGTCCGTGTTTCAAAGCCCCCAGCCACTCCAGGGGAGAAAAGGTGAGGTGAGTCTTCCTACAAAGATTCACAGCCACGAACCCCTACCGGCTGTTCTGCTGCTCTGTCCTGTGTTTGAATCAACTCGACAGTGGAGAAGGAAGGTCCTAAATCTCCTAAGGCCACATTTTAATAGTTTTCTTTTACAAATCCTACCAAAACAAACCCCAAAACCCATTGCTGTCAAGCCCATTCCTGGCAACCCCGTGTTACAAAGTAGAACTGCCTAGAGAGTTTTCTTGTATGTAAGTGGGTTGCCAAGCCTTTTTTCCTCAAGGCCACTGGTTGGGTTTGAACTGCCAACCTTTATAAAGAACTCACTGCCACTGAGTTGACTCAGTAGCAGTAGGAGGAAACTGCCTGTTGTTCTCCCTGGGAATGGCTGGCAGCTTTCCAACTGCCGACCTTTTGTTTAGAATCAGCAGACCAACATTATCACCATTCCCCTGCATAGCTCTGGTGGTGTAGGTCAGAGGTTCAAGTCCACCCAGCGGCTCCTCAGGAGTAAAGTAGGCAGTCTCCTGTCAAGATTTAGTCTCAGAAGCAGATGGAAGGTTGCTGGGCATCAGAGTCAATGACTGCTGTGGAGTTTTTAAAAGTGTAACTACATAAAGGACCGTTAGACTGTTTTCTAAAGTAGTTGAAATGTCCCCACGAGTGCCGTGTGAGGGTTCCACGTTCTCCATACGCTTTCCAACACCCGCTGCTTGTCTGCATTATTTATTATAGGTCGTGCAAGTGGGTAGAATCCATTTTTTGGTCACCTTTTAAAAGTAGGAAATGGCCACTAGAAAGTTTGGTCTAGTGGCTGGGAACATGGGCTCTGGATCCAGGCAGCCAACGCTGGGGAAACTGGACTCTGTACACACACAGATGTGTTACTGAATCTAGTCATTTCTGAGATGTGAAAAGCAGGCACAGACACACAAAGATGACCTGTGAGGATCTGTTAACGAGCCCACAGGAGATGCTCAGAACTAGGAAAGGGCCTCACAGAGGGAATCCAGGAGAACCCTGACTTGGGTTTTTAGCTTCCTGAGCTGGGAGATCACTTTCTGTTCTTTACAGCTACGGACTGTGTTACAAAAGCAGTAGGTAACTAAGGGAGTCCCTGAGTGGTGGTTATGGAAAGACCAGAGGTTCTGGATAACCCGGCTGTGCCTCAGGGGGCAGTCTTTGTGATCTGCTTCGAAAAACGATCCACTGAAAACTTGTGCACAATTCATTCCATTGATAAATGTACAGGTGCCATAGGTCAGATTCGAAACTGCTGTTTCTTAACACTAGGCCAGCAGAGCTCTATGTTTTTGTGTACTTTCTGGCAGGTTTTCAGAGGTAGTTAATGACATGGGAGGAGATGGCCCATCCTCCTTTGAAGCAGTTGGTGGCCTCGAACTGCACATAAACTCTCCAAATCTGCTTCTTGTCTTGTAAACCAAGTGGGGGGATTAACAGGACAGTGGCATGTAGAAATTATTCACATTATCTTCTCCTGTCCAAGTGTTCATACTAATTGATGGTCTGGTCTTATCAATATTCTGGAGCAGGATGGTGCCAACCATGTGCACTTGACTGTAGATCACAGAATTGGAGAAAATGCCAACCACAGGATTTTCATTAATAAGAAAACTATCATTAATTACTCTGTTAGACTAGGAGAAAACTTTTTTTCCTTTTAAGATATTACAACATGTTAGTCTCTCACATTCGTGCAAGGTGCTATGGAAGGGAGGTTAGTCGATTTAATCCTTTAGTCGGAAGACTCTGCTTTCCTATGGTGCATGATGAGGTGGTCATGTCAGATACAGTTGAGTGGACAATTCAGCAACCCTGTGAACAGATCAAAACCTTGCCCAGTCCTAAAGTGACTTCCGCACGAATGTTATGTACCATTCAGCTGACCCTAACTCAGTGACCCCATGAGATCCCATCCTCACGATGTCTAGCTTGAACCTATTATTAAAATCAAATATTTGTGTCAACCCAACTCATTGGGAGTCTTCCTCCACCTTTTCCAGCATATTTTTATCTAAGGCCTGGCCCCTCCTGACAGCATGCACTGCTTGTTGCTGTTGTTATGTGCCATCAAGTTTGCTTGTGACTCGTAGCCACCCTGTGTACAAGAGCCCTAAACCCTGCTCTATCCTGTGCCAACCTCATCGTCTCTGACACACCTACTCCCACTACCCCAGTCACTGCATCGATTCATCTCAACGTCTTCCTCTTCTGCACTGTCCCTCCATCCTCCCAAACATAATGTTCTTCTCCAAGGACTGGTCCCTCCTTGTAACATGTCCAAAGTATGTCAGATGGAGCCTCAGAATCCTTGCCTCCAAGGAGCAGCCTGATTTCACCCTTTCCAGGCTGAACCTGTTTGTTTTCCTAGCAGTCCATGGTATATACAACACTCTTCTCCAGCACCACAGCTCAAAGGCATCAATTCTCTATTATCCCTAGTCACTGTCCAGCTCTCTGATGCATAGCATGCAACTGCGAAGACTGTAGCCTGGATAAGGCACACCTTAGTCTCCAGCCTGACATCGTTGCTCTTTAATACTCTGGAAAGGTCCCTGACAGGTGACTTTCCCAATGCAATTAATCTCTTGATTTCCTGGCTGCTGGTACCAAGAGTGTTGATTGTGGAACTAAACAAACTAAAACTGTTAACAATCTCAAGTATGTAAAGTACACTTTGATCATCCTTGCCCTGTAAGGAGCACCCTGGTTACACTTCCTCTAAGGCAGATTTTGTTCTTTTGGCAACCGATGGAACAGTCAGTATTCTCCTCCAACACCTAAGTGACTATCATCAATTCTTTGGTCCTCCTTATTCATCGTCTGACTTCCAGAGTGTATATAAGAAGCAACTGAAAATCCTATGCGTGGCTTGGATTAGGCACACTTCAAACTGACATCTGTGCTCTTCAGCACTTTGGAGAGGTCCTTGATGCTGGTGCAGCATAGCCATTGATTTCTTGCTGGCTGCTGCCATTGGTGTTGATTGTGAAGCCGACTTAAAAGGAAATTGTTGACACCTTTAACCTTCTCTCCATCTTTCATCATGTCACCTAGTGAGTGGTCCAGTGGTGAGAATTTTTGTTTTATTGATGTTCAAAAGTAACAATCTATATTGAAAGCTTTGATCGTCTTTGGTAATTGCTTCAAGTCTTCTTCACTTTCATTTGTTCCATATCAGTTTCACATTGTTACAGGGTGATAGATCAGTTTTCTGTTTATTTATGTATGATTGCAAAACTAGAGTCCGTTTCCTTTTTTTAACATACTCTTCAAAGACCTCCTGGTATAATGGTTAAGTACTTGGCAGCGAACCACACTGTCCTTAGTTCAAACCCATTAGTCACTAGGTGGGAGGAAGGTGTGGCAATCTGGTTCTAACAAGGTGGCCCGGTGAAGGACAGATCAGAACCTTCCCCTCCATGAAGATTACAGCCTTAGAAATCCTACTGTGGAGTTGTGTTCTTCAGGGTGAGTCAGTCAGAATCAGGTTGATTTCTGGTAACCTCCCTCGACCTGTTGCACAGTACACTTCTTGCTCTGTGGCAGAAGGGCTGTTCACACATGCCCAGGAGAGACTGCAGAGGTTCTAGCACACGGGCTACTTCCTCACTAACGTGGGCTCCAGACCTCCTGCAGTAAACCACTGGGGGGGGGCACCTGTTTAAAGTGAAGATCCTTCCATTTCAGATCTGTTGAGTTAGTCTGATTTATTATTGTTGTTGATACGTGCTGTCGAGTCATAGACGACTCATAGCGACCCTATGAATGAAAGGCCTGAGCACTGTCCGTACATAGTTTCCGGAGGCAAGCCATTTCGGAAGTGGATGCCGCTCCTGCTTCCTCCAGGCTTTTTTAAAGAAAAATTATTTTGTATGTGTACTGTCAAATCGGATCTGAATGGTACAGGAGGAGACTGTCCCTCCTTCTTTAGCAGAGCATCTGGTGGACTCGAACCACTCACCTTTGGTATTGTAGTACGAGTTAATCTGATTTTTAAACCCACTCTAAAATGACCTTGATGGACACTCGGATCCCATGTAATGGTGACTTACGTACCCACTCCCACCCCTCTTTCATCCAGGTACCTGTAATGGCCCACCCTGCCCCTTTCAAGTCCAGTTTTT